TTTCAAAAAGGAATCTAGATCCAGAGGGTGTGGAGGAAGATAGAATCTCCACTGAGTAGTATCCAATCTGTGTAGGTGGGGCTGATGAAAGGAAATGTGGATAGGTCTCTTGTGGTACAATAGTGAATAATTGTTATGAGGACTGATTGTGAGGGTTGGAAATGTAAAGGTAGACATTTTGTAGCAAGGAGGGGAGTGATTAATTTTGCAGTTTATGAATGGAGGTCCCTGGGACCATCAAGGGAGAAGAGCGGAGAGGGGGACCCTAGCCAGAGAAGCAGTGACGTCAGAGATGGAGGCAGAGACAATGACGTGGAGAGATGGAGTGGCTGGGGACTTTAGACCCAGAGAGGGACAGGTGTTGATGACCAGGGGGTAGGCTTGCAGAATATACCCTGCAGTTGGTTGATGATGCATGGAGGGGATTGTAACCATGGCAAAGAAACAATATACGATAGGATGAATGTAAAATTAATGTTCTCCCATCTAAACTATCATGTAATTCACAATAAAACATTAAAAAACCAAAAATGGTTGTGAGGTTTAAGTGATCTTTATAGCTCCTGTTCTTGTTATCCAGTGCTGCTATAATAGAATTACTGTGAAAACAAACACGTTTATTCTCTCACAGTTTACCCACTGGCATTGAGTTGATTCTGCCTCACAGCGACCCTGTATAGGGTTTCCAAGATTGTAAATCTTTACAGGAACATAAAGTTTCTTCTTTCTCCCAGAGTGATTTGTGGGTTTGAACTGCACACCTTGTGGTGCGTAGTCCAGCCTTTTTCCTATGGCATGCCAACTCCTTAGCCACAAGTATAGAGGTTAGGATTTACAACATGCATTTTGGGGGGACAGGATTCAATTCGTAACAGTGCCCAAACCTGACACCTCCCACAGTTGCTCTTACTACCCCTGATGCAGCCGCCAGCGAGTCACACTGAGACTTGAGTGGGTGCCTGAGCGGTATCTTTGTTATCCTTCTCTGTCAGGCCTTTCAAAGCTATTTCTTTTCTTTTTGCCACTTCAGTTAAATTTTGGTGTCTTTTCAATAAATGAAGTCCTGGTGTGGCACTGTAGATTAATGTGCTGGACTGCAATGTTGGTTCAAACCATGAGGTCGGCAGTTCCAGCTCACCAGTCGCTCCTTGGAAACCCTACACAGGGTTGCTATGAGTTGGAACTGACTCAATTGCACTTAAAAACAATAACAACAACAAATACTTGGTTTATTAGACGTGAAAAGGAAGTGGTGATGGTGGTTACGTGCTGTGGAGTCAGTTCCTACTCATAGTGACCCTGTACATGGTTTCCGAGGCTGTAAATCCTTATGGGAGCAGAATACCTCGCTTTTCTTCTGCGGAACAACTGGTAGCTTCAAACTACTGACCTGGAGGTTAGCAGCCTGATTCGTAACCATTAGGTTACCAGAGCTCTTGGAAGAGACAGTGTTGGAAGCTAAAATTAACTGATGGGACTTTTAGTTAGCATTCCTCTAGCAAAAGTGCTGGAGAGCACAATAGAATCCAGGATACACTCAATACATTCCCCAAAGGCAGACAGATTTAAAAATGAGTCAAGGAACTACAGTCTTCTGAAGATCAGACTTTGGTTTTATTTGAACTGATTGCTATTATGTAAGAGTATAAAATGTATTTTCTTAACAATCACCAACCCAAAGCCATCATTGATGATTCCATTCTTCAGGACAGGAGAGAGCCTCAGTCTCGTTAACATGGTACAACACACATTCCCAGTGTGATGTGTAAGCCTCACTGCGCTTCACAAGGCAACACACATGCCCCACGCTGGCACAGCGCCTGTCTCCAATGGCTTCCTTTCCTCCCAGGGCTAGGTTTTCTCAGTTAGCCACAAAGGCAGATAATCTAAAGGATAGCGTCTCTGTAATTTGATTTTTGTACTCTGAGTCACATCACTTCTTGGGCGAAGAAACAGTTAAACTCAATCTATTTATTATTTCTTCTAGCAGTGATTCTGGGAAGGCTGACTCCAACAACCAGAGCAGGGGTCAGACCCCTCTTGGCTCTCAGTGCAGACCAAGGTGGGGGAGTAGGAAAGGAGGAAACCTGACCTCAAATCTTGGTCAAAATATTTACCAGCTGGGTGCCTATGGATGGGTCACTTACCCTCTAAACCTCTGAGCCCTCATGTCTCCATCACATCATTTAGTGCATAAGGCAGAGAGGTCACCTGTCAGCATGTTGAATGAGCTAATGTGATGTCTCACAGCCTACAGTGTTAAGGAAGTTGGAGGTTGTTGTTGTTAAGTACTGTTGAGTCAATTCTGACCCATAGTGACCCTCTATAGGGTTTCTAAGGAGCAGCTGGTGAGCTTGAACTGCCAACCTTTCAGTTCAAATGACTTTGCAATCTGGTGCATTAGCCCACAGCTACCTCAAGGAAGTCAGAGGTAGAGGAGGAAAAAAAAAAAAGAAAAGTTTTTTCTTTGATCCTAGGATCTAAGGGAGAGTGAAAAGTGGAAAAGAAAGGGGCGAGATGAAGTGATGCAGCCAATGGCTGGCCAGGCACTGCTGCCTCTGAATGCTAGGGTCCTGGGTACCACTTCTGGGCTCAGGGTAGAGCTTAAATGATGACACTGGCAGTTGAGGTCCCTTGTCCTTTGAACTATAGAGAGTGGAGCTGTTCACTAGACATGGCTGGGAGCCAGTCACTGGAAAAGTTCCTATGAAATCATTACCCAGACTGATTATCATGACAGCTAACATTTTTTATATGATTTAAATTCAGAAGATCACTTGTAAAGCTTCTAAATCTTCACTATATCTCTGATGGAAGAGTTCTTAGCTTGGTCCTGGTATAAGTCATATCTCCATGCTTCCTTAAGCCACAGAAAACTTGAACCAGGTGGTGTGGTCATATTGCTCACCAGGCTTCAGCAGGACAGGAGGGAAGTGGGGCTGTGGAGAGGAAAACAACACAGGTTACATGATGCCAGCCCCAAGTCACACTATCAGCTACTCAGGAATTCAGGACAGGCTTCTAGGCTGAGCTGGATTCTAGATCAGTATTCTATAGAACAGTTGTTAGAGTAGGAGCCGTTTATTACTGATTTGCAATGAGATAAAAAGCTTGGGCCAGAATGAAAACCAATTATATCACAAAGTAAGACTTTTTTTCATAAAGGAAGCAGTGTGTTGATTAACATTTACATGTGCAAGCTTCTTATGGGTGGGCACTCGGGGGAACATTAGCAAAAGCTAGAAAATAAATTTGTGAAGGAGCAGATAGGAAGAGTAGATATGAAGAATCACCTTAAAAGCATGGGTGTTGAAAATTATTATATATTGATGAACAGAAATGTTAAGTTGAAAATGATTATATATTGATGAACAGAAATGTTAAGCTGAGTAAAGGCTTTGAAGTACAAAATTTGAGATGTTTTGCCTGCATGTTATTTTCTTGTTCAAAGGTTTTCTGTTTATCGTGTCATAGAGAAGAGAACAAACATGGACATTTGAACCATCGGGAAACAGGGTTGAGTGTGTGACCTCAGTGATAGGATGTGACCTTGGACACAACTCAATTTTGACAAACCTGATTGACGGCATTGGGCCAGTTCTGGGTCTCAAGGCAGAAACCAGAGTGCTTGGGGTAGACGGCTCCATTCTTCCCCTTGAGTGTGCCATCCAGAAAGTTGCCCGTGTAAAACTGGACGCCAGGCTGGGTGGTATATACTTCCAGGACCCGTCCGCTACCAGCATGATAGACCCTGAGGATGAAGCCAAATTTCCTATGAATCCAGGTCAGAAAAATAGGCAGGGAGAGTAGAAACTGGGAGGCAGTATTGAGACAGGGACTGAGGCCACCCATAGTGCAGGGACAATATGTGTGACTAAAATGAAGGTAGGAAGAACATGATGGAGGATTCTCACAGGCTCAGAGGTGAGGCATGAGTGTCTGGTTTTCAGGGTCCTCAACAGTGACTTCTGACCTAGGCTTGGGGGAAGACTAAAAATGATTCTCCCCAGCTAGAAATGAATAGTCAGGGGTGGTCAGGTTGGGGAGATACAGTTTCAGAGCCCTGGAAGGGCTGGCATTCTTTCTCATAAAGCGCTGGGGCTCTGCTTAGCCTGGGGAACCAACCAGCTACGAAACAGATGAGATGCTTTTCCTAAATTAAATTGTTCTCCCTGTGACTTGAGTAGGCTGCTCTTAGATCACTCCCTAGAACGGTCCTGCTGTGTGTGTGTTGGGGGGTGGGGAGGGAGAGGAGGGTGTGTGTGTGTCTCCACTAGATTCACTGTTTCCTTTTTTAAAGAAATTTAAAATAAAATACAACTAAGCCTCTACAGAGCTGAGAAGCTGCCAGCACTATATTTGATGTGGAAAGGATACACGCAGATAAAGAAAGGACTGGGTCTTACCATCTCACCCAAGAGAAAAACACATGCATGAAATACTTAAAATAGCCCCCCACAATGTCTTCTCAACCAACTTTCAGGGGAAGATGCTTGGGAAGGGAAGACCCAGGGTTTAAATAGGTGCAGAGAAGACAGGAGGGCGTTCTCAGGTGGCACACTGAGGACAAAAAGGAGGCCAACAGGAGGAAAATGGGCTTAGGCTAGAGGGCAGAGTCTAGACTGACTGAGGTTTTGGTGCTGGGGCACTGAAAAAGAAGGTTTTTGAAGTTCTTTCCATTTATTTTAGAGCTTGAATCTTTTTTTCTGATATATGAGGGCAAGTAAAAGAAGTACTGCCACCAAATCTTAGAAACCTTTATTAAAACAAAGATATTAAAATGTGAAGCTATTAGTTCTTGATATATCCTCTATCTGAAGGTAGTGGTTTCCATCTCTTTAAACTCTCCCTGAAGAATTCTGCACGCTCCCATTTATCATGTCAAAACGGCAGTTTTAGTATCTTTGAGGGACTCAAATCGTGTTCCTCTGAAATGTTCTTAGAGTTTGGGAACAAAAGGAAGTCTGAAGGGGCAATATCAGAGCTGTGGGTTGGTGGGGTTAGGTTTCTCAACAAAATTCTCATAGAACAGTACTTACTATACTCGAAGAACCAGAAGGTGCATTGTCATAATGGACAACTCTGTTAGTGGACCTTTCCTGGCTTTTTATTTCTCACCAATGCAGTTTTCCATTTTCTTAAAACTTCCTGATAAGCCCCCTTGATCATCCTGTAGACTTTGAGAATATCTATCAAGATTACCCCTCTGAGATCCTAAAAAAAATTGCCATCTTCTGAGCTGATCTCTCTCCTTTGAATTTAACTAGCCCAGCGAATTCCCTCAGAAGCCACGGTTTTGATTGGACTTTTTCTTTTAAGGTACCCTAAAACCCTATACAGAGTCCTGGTGTGGTGCTGTCAGCTAATGAGTCAGACAGCAAAGTCGTTTCAACCGCGAGATTGGTGGTTCAAGGTGCTGTTTGAAAACCCTACACAGGTTACTATGGGTCAGAATTGACTCGATGGCACTTCACAACAACAAAACCCTATACACGGTCACTATGGGTCAGGATCGACTCATCGGCACTTAACAACATAACAACAACAAAGAGGACTATGAGTCCTGGTGTGGCAACTATAGGATAAGCACTGCTAAGCACAATTTTAGGTGATCAACCCCAGTTGCTCCTTGGGGTATCTATGAGTTGGATCTAACATGACAACACTTAACATTTATTAATGCCAATGACAGTACTGGGATTAGGATAGAAGTAGGGATTCACAAAGTTGAAACAGCACGAGGAAGTAGAAATTCAATGAGAGGTGAGAGTGTGCAACACAAACGCCTATCAAACAAAGCTGGAGTTGGTGAGTGCTATATGAGGAAGCGAATTCTGATGTGGCACCATAGGATAAACACTCAACCTTAAGGTTGGTTTGAACCACAACGTCGGGGTTCAAACTCACCAGCCACTCCTTAGAAACTCTGTACAGGGTTGCTATGAGTTGGAACTGACTTGATAACACTTAACAACTTATGAGGAAGAACAGCCTCCAACTCTCCAGGGAGGTAGGCAGCGTGTAAGTGACAACTTGAGAAGGTACAAATGGTTCTGGGGTTTAAGTAAGGCAGAGATGGCTTTACTCAGGAGACATTAGGGCTTTTCACAGAAAATGGGCTTTACAGAACAACAAGCAAAGATGGGTGGCTGTGGTGGTTATGTGCTGTGGAGTCGGTTCCGACTCAAAGCGACCTTGTACAGGGTTTCTGAGGCTGTAAATCTTTACAGAAGTAGAACGCCTCATCTTTCTCCTACAAAGATGGGACAGAGGGAGAAAGTAGGAAAGGCATTCCAGACAGGCTGCATGGGAAGAATGCCATGGCCAGGGAGTGGAAGATAAATTCCACAGAGCTTTTCTGTGGAAACAGGAGCTTTGAAAGGACATAGGATGTGGTGAGTTGGGGGTGCAAACAATTAAGCACTCAACTACAAGCTGAAATATTGGCATTGCGCCCACCTAGAGGTGCCTGAGAAGACAGACGTGATAATTTGCTTCCCAAAGGTCATAGCCTTGACCACTTTATGGAACACAGTTCTACTTTGCACATGTAGGACCACCGTGAGTCAGAATCGACTCACTGGCCACTAACAATACCAGTGTGATTGATGCTGCTGAGATAGCCAGAGGAGAAGCTCCTCAATTAGGACTTGGCATTTCTTCTCTGTATACAGAGGAAGTATATTAATAGTAGCAGACAGACCTTGCACAAAAATGCTTTTCTTTAGATTTCTTCAGGCAGAAATTGTGGTCAAAACCATTGATGCGGAACTCCTGCAGGTGTTTTCCAAGCTCCACTGACTTCCTCAGGTCAAATGCAGTGCCTTGCACGGAAGCAAGTTCTCCTGGTGGGAAGAGGTGGGGAAAAAAGTCGGTACATACCCAACTCAAATGATTATATGCAATGTTCTAAAGATCCACTGGTTCTACTGCCTCAGTTTTCATTTCAATTTGTAGAGGAGATGGGAGCCTAGATTCTAAGGAAAATGAAATACTGGATTTCTTTCATTACAAGGTGCTACTGATTGCAAGATACAGTAGCTATAACATGCATAATAATTTAAAAAACATTCAAGTGAGAAGATGTACAAAAACCAAGGAAACATGTAATCTCCATTCAAGGCTAAATTGAATAAAAGGTGATGATTATTCTTACCATGTATACATAAAATAGTCATTCACCTTGTTGACAATTTTTGCTTTAGTGCTGCAATATCCCAGGATTCATAACCAAACAGGTATACCTAGGCGTGGCTTACAAGACACTAACAAAGTCCCAGGCGTTAGTGGCTCTCAAACTACTTTGGGCCATTATTAGTCAATGGTACATTGGCAAATACTCTGCCCCAGTCACCTCCATGGTCAACCTGTAGACACTGTCCAAACAGTATCAGGAGCTAGTCAAAATAACACTCCGATAAATGAATGAACTGGGACATTCCAGGGCAAACTGGGATAAATGGCTACCATTGCTGTTGTTGTTAAATGATGTCAAGTTGGTCCCAACTCATAGGGACCCTGTATAGGATTTCCAAGGAGCAGCTGGTGAGTTTGAACTACCAATCTTGAGTTTAGCAGCCCAGTGCTTATTTTGTAGTGCCATCCCAGGAGTCCCATAAGATATGCCAGTTTTAGATTCAGTCCTTTGAATGAAAGCTTTGTTTCCAGGAGTGATTCCTGAAGGAGCGATAGTCAGGCAATTGTTGCTTCCTTGTGTCTAAGCCAGATTCCTCTAAGCTCTAGGTGTGGTATACTTTTCGTATCATGGTAGGTTGTCTTGAAGTTTCTTCACAAGAATGTGGGTAAAGCATCATGAAGGACACTACAGTGTGGGGACCTTCAACTCTAAAAAGGTAAAGCACATCAGGAACCCAGAAAGGGACCCTGTCCTGACCATCATTATATAACCACTGCCTCATCAGGAACATCCCTTCATGATCTCATAGAACTCAAGGGTGTTGGGACAGAAGGGTTCTCAGAGCTTCTCTGGTCTAAGAAAACAGAGGCCCACATAACATATCAATAAATAACAACCTATGATGCTGATGAAGTGTATCCCACCAATTTAAGCCACTCATGTTTTACATTTTAATATCTTTGAAATTGTGCCATGGCTTAACAGGCAAAAGTTTGTCTTTCTTTGTGGTATGTAAACTAATGGTCAGTCTTACGTAGATGAAATATATAAATAAAATAGTTGGCTACATCCTCTGTTTTGCTATAACCAGTAAGCAAGGAATCAGGGCTTTGAGGGGAAAAAAAAGAAGACTTGGGATTGTTTAGGGAGTGATT